AAACTATGAAACTATGGTTGGATGGCTCTGTGGAATTCATTAAGTACTTTCTCTTGCCTTCATATGGGAGGAACACACACTTACACTTACTCATAAGCTGAAAAGAATCTGCTTAACTGACAACAATACAACATGACTGTCTAAAATCTGCTTTAATGGATAGGCCTACATTATGTGCAGTGCTCTTTGTTTTATAAGCTGATAGTATCTCCTTCAATAATTGAAATATGGACATTAGTAGTCTTTAATATCTAGAGTAACTTAATTTTTTTTCTAGAAATTGCCAGTGTTCCATTACAATGGCTAAGAATTGAAACTGTCAGTGCAAAAACGCTATGGAAGACTGCTACAGTAACTATGCAACACTTGCTATATCAGTATTTTTCTCTTAAGATGGCTTACTAATATTTTGAGTATCCAATTCTGTAAAAACCTAAAAAGAAGCAAGATACAGATGTACAAACTTCTAATCTCCTGTATTCTCATCCATTTTGATAATCACCTCTCTATTTGGAGTATGCTACTGTACCTGTGCACTACAACAGCAATTTTGGCTGGAAAAAAGGGTGCATAATTCAGATCTCTTAATTAGCCAGAAGGTGCAGGACACTTTTTTTTAAATGTTGGACCTGGAATAAAGAACTTTTGTGTGCATTGATTTCCTTCAACTCTAAAAGACTTGCATTTTTAGCCAAAATTTTGGGTGTTTCAGCTTACTATATAAAATTGGTGATAGCTCATAGTGGTAATTTTTAATGTAAAAAATGTACCATTCTAGCTTCCTGAACAGAGTAGAAATGCATAGCAAGCAGTCTTGTGCTCAGAAATGTATGTTCAACTCCTGTGGGCTGGCTAAGGAGCCCTTTGCTGCTGCCACTGCCGCTGCTGCCGCTGCCACCACCCCCTCTGCTGCTTAGGGTCATATTTGATTTCTGCTGGCTTGCACAGTGTTCACAGTCTAATTAGTATCCTAACCTCTGTAGCAGCAAGAGGACCCTTAGCACTGCCTTTGCTCTGCCATGAAAAATGGTGCGTTAGCCTGTGTTGATCTCTTTACCCTATCTAGACAACCTTCAGTACTTGAGAGGGCTTCTTCAAAACTGCTTTCACTATCCCCACTTGTAGAATATCTGTATGACCTGTTTCTACAAGAAGAACTGCTGTTCTCCTGGTAGAAAAAACAGATGTTCCTAATGTTCCTCCTGGAGCAAAAAATGGCAGTTCTAGGAGGAAAAAACAGTTCCAACCAGTCAGAAGTTGCTCCAAGGAGGGTTTCTCTTGAGAATAAACTTCTGTATGCTGTGACTTCACTTCTCTTGGCCTTCAGGAGGAGCTGAGTCACAGGGGATAAGCTTCCATGCCTTCTGGAGCCTGGGGTCACCTTGTTCTAGAGAAGGTACTGGAGGCAGTTGCTTCCACCCATCTTATATGGAGAGAAGAGGAGTAGCCCTAGCTGCTCCCTGCCAGCTCCTCATATACTAGAGTAAGACGTATCCAAGAGGGCTTTGCTGAGCTACTTGGATAACTCGGCTGCTAGTGTCAAGCAGGGGGAGCAGTGCCACACCCTAGCTGGTTCTCACTCAGAGCTGCAGGGTAAAGCAATCAACCTACTACGCTGCAGGGAGTCCCCTGGCTCCTGACAACCTGCACTCTGGCCCAGCTGATGAGTTCCCCTTGACTCAGCACCCTGAAAGTTGCACCAAGGGAAGCTTAGCTTGGACATCGGGGGGAAAAAACCTCTCACAAGGAGAGTAGTAAAGCAGTGGAACAAGCTACCCAGAGAGGTAGTGGATACTCCATCCTTGGAGGTTTTTAAGAGAGAGCTTTGGCTAGGATGATCTAGCTGGGAATGGTTCTGCTTTTGAGCTGGCGGTTGGACTACATGACCTCCTGAAGTCCCTTCCAACCCTAATTTGCTACGATTCTAAAACAAGGCTGTTGACCAACCCCCACTATGCAGCTGACATCATGCACAGCAGGAGCCTGCCATGAATTGAACTTAAGGCACGAAGGAAAACAGCCATAAAACATTACATGTTTTGTGGGATGTTTCTGTAAAATGGTTTCTCATTTTGTCACAATGTTAATTACCTGACCATGTGGTTGGGTTACTAATTAAGATATTAACAGGTTAATTGCATATTAGAATGTCTGTCAGGAGCCTTAATAACAGATCCCATTTTCTGCAGCTTTTACTAAATGGGACTTGATCTCCTCCCAGCTTTAAGAGTTCTTTGTGCACACTAAGCTTGCAAGAGGTTTGTGTATCTTAGGATCCAAGACTCCTTGATGACAGCGATTAGTTTTATTTTGAGAGATGCCAATTTAAGAGTGGTGCAGCAGTATCAGAAGCACAACGTACATGTCTACTTGCATGCCTTCAAAAAAGTTTCTCCTTCAGAAATCAAGTAAAGAAATTGGCTTACTCTTGACTTGGTTATTTGGCCTTTTGGAAAACTACATTTATCATCTGGTGCCTGAATCGTGTCTTTTGAATCTTGTCTTTAGCTGTTGTCTGCTTCTTGGTATTTTAAAATAATTCACTTATTTTCTCCTGGGGGAGGTCCAACTGGGAATGGCTTTCTTCCACCTTTTGTAGTGGTTTGATACCTATTTGAGATCAGAGAGTATAGAGTCCAAGCAGCTTCAGTTAGTGCCAAACTGCATCAAGGCGATGTCACTTGTGGACATGCATGAATGCTTCTCTATTCTGGGAATCTCCCTCCCTGCCTCGCATGAAAATTACATGAAACAGTTGAAGGCCTCACTGATCAAAATTACACTAAACAGCACCCCTGTTTTAATACAGAAAATAAATACTGTAAGGACTAAGTTGAATCCCTGAGGTGGTCTGCTTGTAAGCAAATGCAAACACTATCAAGCTGCTCATGTCGGGTGCCCATGGGCCCCATCATCTCGCCGTTCAGAAGTTGTGCCTGGTACCTTGAGGTGTGTAGAGGGAACATTTAAAGCTGTGTCAATGGCCGAATTGCTGACTTTTTTTTCTGAATCTGCATTGAATCTTCAGATTTGGATTCAGCCGATTCAGCTTCCAAGGGAAGTGATGCTGGCTCTTACCTTGGGGATCTTTAAAAGGAGGCTTGATAATTACCTAGCTGGGGTCACATGAGCTTAAACTTACCAGTAGTCATATGAGCCCAGTATTCATTCCTGCCCATGGCAGGGGGTCGGACTTGATTATCTGCTCAGGTCCCTTTCGACCCTACACCTATGAACTAATGTTCTTGAAAAGACAGTGGTGCTGGTGTCGTCATTAAAGCCCCTTCCTACGCTGGAAGAATTTATATTGACTTCAAGAATTATTGACTTCAAGATACTTCAGCCAATTTTCTCTATAAGGAAGGAAATGCCATACAACTCTTTTTAATGTGTAAGCATAAGCCTTGCATCTCCCTGCCAGTGCATTGTACCTGTACTGTCCACGCAATTAGGGCACTGTCAACTCTGATTCTGTCTAGAATGAACAGCTCCTTAGTTCTTGAGTTAACAATCCCTTTTTTTTCCTTCTCTTTCATGCCCTCTTAAAGCCTCTCTGCAAGTCCTTAGACAATCTATAGACTGAGTAGGATGAGGCTGCTCTTGGTTTCTCTCCATGTTTTTCCCACATCTCATAATGCAAGACACACCTATGGAATCTATTCTTTGAAAAAATTACCTGATCTTGGCTAGCAAGGCCTCCCTTAGTATGGAAGCTTTCAGGAAGAAGGCAGAAGCCAAGATTCCAAGGCTCCCTAGTAAGGCAAATGTCAAACATGACTCAGGAAAATCTCAGTTTATATACCATATTTTCTTGCATACGGTATGCCTTGGAATAAGATACGTGCCTTGTTTTTTGAAAGGCAGAATGAACATGGCGGGGGGGCGGGTCTTTACTTGTAGATGAGTGACAGAGTAGTACCAGCTAGGGAAAGCAGAGCCTGCACATTGCATGCAATCCACAGGGAGCAGAACAGGCTCTGCTTTAGCTTTTGCCCAACCAAAGTTCAAGCAACAGAAACTGCTTTTACCATATTTCCTTGCATATAACATGCATTCCAATCTCTAGCAGTTAGTTTTTGGGGGGAGAAAAGGTGTTGTGCATAAGTATATGGCTTACATACGGCTTTCTTTTAAAGAAAAAAAATCAATATTCCTGTGGCATTAATGTAGGAGAACATCAGTAGTTATTGTAGCATTGCTACTTGATTGTTCACCAGCATAACATCTGTGAGAGGAAAAGGATTGTGAATCCACATTTAAATGATGTTGGACCACATATAAAGTGTGCTGTGTTGCTTAAACTAACTGACACTTTTTGGCTGACACTGACATGCAAAAACTGTAGAGGATACTGGAAAAAGAAGAATAATTTGCTCTACTTTTTTATAAGGAACCAAGAAAGAATGGAATTGGAACCGGTGGCAATAAAAGCCCAGGAGCCCCAGAAAGAGGACCCAATAAAAGAACAACAACAATCACTGAGGGCACAACAAAATTTGCAACAAGGTCTTGTCAAAGACCGTGACTTGGCTAGAAAAATGGAGCAAGAACGCAGGAGAAAGGAAGCAGTAAGTTACTGCCAGTGTCCTCAGCTAGTGTTAATCATTGAAAACAATGATCATGCTGACTCAAGTTCTGTTGAGTCTCTGGGTAATAAATAAAATGTCTGTTTTGGCTCTATGCTCCCTCTCCAGGAGGCACAGTACAAAATGCAGTTGGAAAGGGTCTGAAAAGGAGTTAATCAAAGGTGGCTTTCAGCTACTTTTGGACTGGTCAGAAAAGGACACTTAAATGACAGCTGTATTGTGATAAGATGCTGCCTTGAAGTATGTGCTAGGGGTATATGGAATCGAAACTAATGGAAGAGGGAATATCTCTTATTAGACCAACTAGATATTTGCAAACAAATTATTTTATTTATCTGCATGCTTTTAGGCATACACCCTTCAGGCATAGGAGAGAGCAGAGATTGTAGAAGTTCACCTAGATAGAAAGGAAAATATATAGGTATTTTCTCTTCCAGTCACTGAAAAAATGCCTTAACTAACTTGAACGTGGTGTGGATTCCCCAGAATCCTAACTGAACTTCATGGCACTTACATTTTGCACCTCAGCCCTCTCCAGTGACACCCTGACTGTGTCTATACTGCAAACATGAGAGTTCCCAAGAGCAACCTCCTCAAGTACTCTGCACTGCTTTGGGCACACTGCTATCTTTACCAGAAGCACTGTGGCCATCTCTGTGGCACTGAAGGGGGTGAGTTAAGTAAACTGGTCTATCCATTTTGCCCCCTGGTTTTGTCAATTTTTGTCCACCCATCCAAATGCAGTGGCATCACAGTTTAGGAGGAGGCCTGCCTAGAGAAGCACAGACTGCTTGAATATATTGTTTCTGAGGACAGGAGGTCACAAGTATAGACACAAGCCAAGTTTACCAGTTTTCTAGTTGTATGCAAAGCCTGTTGACTTGAATGGAAAGACTCCCACAGATTATGATGAACTTTGGATCAGCCCTTTAAAGGATCTATCATAACTTGGGACTTTGTTTCTGCAGTAACTATTAACTGAAATTGTTATTCCACATTAGCTTCCAACATAGATAAAACAAAATTGGAAAAAGGCATCTCTTATGGAATATGAATATCCTGATGGCTTCCCAGAAGTTATTAAACCACTTTAAACTTACACCCTAGCTTTAATTTAAAATAGCTTTTAACATGTAGATATGCCCTTATGCCTGCTATAGGCTCCTCAACTGTTCTTCTGTTTGATACATTCATAGGTGTTGGGATCGGAAGGGACCTCAGTAGGTCATCGATACTTCTGTCAAAGCATATGACTAATCTGTTTTCTTAAAAAAATCTACAGATGTAATAACAAACATGACGCAAAAGAAAAACGCTATAAAAGCATCTTTTGGTTTTTGTATAATTATATGTACCAATTTGTTTCCTTATGCTCATCAGCTCAAAAGATTTAGTTCCCAATAGTTTTTGATCTCTTAAAAAGCTTAAGGCAAAAGGCTTAAGTTGTTCTTTCATACATACTTACCTTGTGACCAGATTTTTTGCAATACCAAAATAAAGCCCCTTTAAAAAAACAAAATTCCCAAAGGCTACTTTTCTTTCTATCTGATCAATGCTGTATACCCTTTTTTTCTAATCAAAGGGCTCCTCTCACTCTCAGCTATCTAATACTTCTGCTTGCTTCATGATATAATTCCAGTGCTTCCAATGTCATAATTACTAGACTGGAGTAGCACAGACTAAAGCTGGCTGCCTCTTTTAAAATGGGAATCCTGTTAGAAACATGTATTAAAGTCTATGTGAAGCAACAGTGGAACAGACGGGGTCAGACTCAATCTGCTCAGGTTCTTTCCGACCCTACAAACTATGAAACTATGGACTGGTTACTCTTTCTAATGCGACCTGGACAACAGATAATATTACAACTGTGGATGCTACTACAAACAAACAAAATATAATTTGTCATTTTAGAAAAGATCCTGGGTGACATAATATTAGCTCTTCAAAACTCATCACCATAAGTAAGACTGTTAATTGTTTCCTGCAGATGACTGGTACCATTGATATGAATATGCAGAGTGTTATAATGGCAACTTTTGAAGAAAATCTTGAGTGAAATCTTTGACTCTGGAAATGGCTGCAACCTGGCTACAGCTTAAGTGATAATATTCGATGTTGTTTGTACAATAAACTTCATAAGTGCTGAATGCCTGTGTGCTATTTAGATGGCTAAACTGCACATTGTTCAGACTCTTCAAAGTGGTCTTAACTGCTTATAATACCCCCAATTTGTCAATGCATAATTCTGATATTTCCCTCCCTTGTGTTTTATCTGTACAAAATCTACTTGTTGCTAGCTAGTTAAGGACAGTCATTTTTTTACTAGGTTTTTTTAAGTGACATGTTTCTACAGAGACTTTTTTTTTTTTTTTTTTGAAACAACTGTGTCCCTGTTTTGAATTTAAAATTTTACGTTTAAGTGTTTTTCAGAATTGTTTTAATATATTGTTTGCAGCTGATTTTCAATCTTGTTTTCACCAGCCACTTTTCTGGTAATGGTAACCTCCACATAGCACCAAGTATAAGTGCATACTTTACAAAAACTTCTCTAAACCATAGTTTTGTGCCTTCCAGTAGCAAATATCACTGTTATTGGCCCACAGAAATATGCTATTAAGTACTGATTGTACCAAAAGACTATGTAATAATATAAAATCTGTAGGGATGTTATATATAGAGACTACAATATGCGGAAATTTCCCTGTTTTCTGTACTAGATCTCCATTTCTCACTTGCTATATCCTATACGCTTACAATTTTTTTTAATTGAGGTATAGGCATGATGATATTTTTGTTAATACAGTAGGCTATTTTTATGTTTATATGCAGGTGAGAACAAGCATGGAAGAGTGTTTAATAACTCAATCTTTTCTTTTGTTTTCAAAGAGATTCATTAACACTAAATTTTTTCTGGCTAGAGTTTAAAAAGAATATCTGAAATCGTTAAAGCCCTTAAAGTAGAAACTTGAACAAATGACTTTAGACTTCCTGTTGACTCTGTTTTACAGGTTTTCACAACAATAAAACATCTTATTTTTATGGTATTCATACCATAACAAAATGTATGGTCCTACTGCATCCTGTTTTGAGTTCTGTGCTACTACACAGTGCCACTTTAACTGGCTTCAAAGTCCAGAACATATTACTACATCAATTCCCAATCAGCATATTGCATGTTTTTTCAAATTGTCACTTCCATGTAAAATTTATTTCTCAAATATTCCATTGAGGGTGCTACATAAACTTATAGCTAAAGAATAAATCTCCCTAAAGAGCAAACTTCTAGTCTGAAACTTTTACTAAGCATTCATAGACACTGTTGGCAATGCCAAGAATTTAAGGGAAGACAGAAGTGTAGTTTCTCACTGTAACTGAGAACACTTACCAAGAAGTGTCCTGAGTTGTAAGGTTCCCCTGAACCAAGCAAGTTTACAGTTGGTTCTTAAGGGGAGGGGAAACTAGCAGTGGGCTGGGAGCCTGCAGCCAGTTTCCCCTAGCAATGGCCCCTCCTTTCTCTCAACCTGCCCCTGTTTCAGAATGGGCAGGGAGAGGGGAGGAAACGCAACATGTTCTAGGGGTGCCCCAGCCAGTGCTGGAGGGTGGGGCAGATGTATTGGACTCTTCTTTCCCTCCTTTCAGCAGGGGCTAGAAACCCCCTAGACCAAACTCCCTCTGCTCCCTTTTTCCCCCTCCCACTCTGAAAATAGTTTGAGGCAGTGCAGACACAAATTACAGTAGATGCTGTGTTTTGAAACATCTTCATCTGGCCTCTCATGCAATGAGGGTTCAGATTTTTGCCAGATTGGCCACTCTTTTTTTAAGTGGTCTGCAGTTTTGCACTTGTTTGGTCATAGCTATAGACCACTTCCTGTGGCCAGATCAGGCAAAATCTGAACATTTTGGTGGGGGATCTGCAGGTGCAAGGTAACCTAGGGGATAGTGACCACCTATTGCTAGGGTTCACCATCTGGAGAAAGGTGGAGAAGATAACTAGTAGAGCAGAAGTGCTAGACTTCAGGAAGGCTAACTTAAACAAGCTCAGGAGATTAGTTAGGGAGGGACTGACTAGTAAAAGCCTTGGAGAGATGGGAGTCTAGGAAGGGTGGGCATTTCTCAAGGAACTAATCCCACAGGCACATAAAAAGGGGCAAAAAAGCAAAGAAACCCTCTTGGTGGAGCAGGGAAATCCAGGAAAGCCTGGAGGGGAAAAAAGTAGCCAACAGGCTGTGGAAGCAGGAAGCTACCACCAAGGAGGAGTATGCCTGCTTGGCTCAAACTTGTAAGGAAACAGTGTGGAGAGCCAAAGCAGAAATGGAGCTTAGGCTGGCAGCAAAAGTAAAGGATAACAAAGTCATTCTTTAAGTACATAGGAAGCAAAAAGAAGGTGCAGGGTAACTTGGGGCCCCTTCAGGATGAACTAGGGCACCTGGTAACAGATAGGACGGTCAAAGTGGAGCTTCTAAATGATTTCATTGTATCAGTGTTCCTGGACACAAATACAAATATGCATCCCATTAGGACCTTAGGTAAGCCTGGTCTAGATACAAACCCACCAACTGTTTGAGCTGACCTAGTAAAGGGGCACCTGGAGGGGTTGAATGTATTTAAGTTAAAAGGTCCTGATGATCTTCATCCTATGGTACTTGGGGAATTAGCTGGAGTCATACAGCTACTGGCACAACTGTTTGAGCACTCATAGTGCTCAGGAGAGGTCCTGGAGGATTAGAAAAGGGCCAATGTGGTCCCTATTTTCAAGAAGAGGAGGAAGGAGGAACTGGGTAACTATAGGCCAGTTAGTCTCACCTCTATCTTTGGCAAGACCTTTGAGGAAATTGTGAAGGATCACATTTGTGGGGGACCAGTGGGTAAAATGATGCTAAGAGGCAATCAGCATGGGTTCATAGTGGGCAGGTCCTGCCTGACTAACCTGGTTTCATTTTATGACTGGGTCAAAAAATCTTGGATGAAGGAATAGAGGTAGATGTTATTTACTTAGATTTTTAAAAGGCCTTTGACACAGTGTCACACCCAATTCTTATAAATAAACTAAACAGTTGGAATGTAGATTATTACACAGTCCGGTGGGCAGAAAATTGGCTTATGGGATGCACCCAGAGTGGTGGTGGATGGGTCGGTTTCTACCTGGAGAAATGTGGGCAGCGGAGTCCCCCAAGGCTCTGTCCTGGGACTGGTACTATTCAATATCTTCATTGGTGACTTCGACGAGGGAGTAGAAAGCATTCTGTCCAAGTCTGCTGACAACACCAAACTATGGGGAGAGGTATGCAAACTAGACAGCAGGGAGCGAATCCAGGCTGCTTTGGACAGGCTGTGGAAATGGGCTGAACAGAATAGGATGCAGTTTAACAAGGGTAAGTGTTGTGTGTTGCACCTGGGGAGGAAGAATCATCAACACTCCCATAGCCTGGGAGGTACCACTCTAAGTAGCCAACTGCGGTAAGGGATCTCATACTCGTAGTCGACTTCAAAATGAACATGAGTCACCAGTGTGATGAAGTAATAAGCAAAGCTAACTGCACCCTTTCTTGCATAAGTAG